GGTAATACTAACCATGGGGAATTTTATCATGATTTATCGTCAAACCGGTAATCATTACATCCCTAATCACAACCGCAGCTAGGAAACACTATTGTTTATGTCTGAATTCCTTCCAGACACATTGTTTACAAGTTAAAAGCAGTAGCCACAACCACAGGCCACATGGGAAGCCAAAAAGAATATGTAAATAAACAGAAAATCTCCTTTTTCCATAATGTAAATCATTCTGATGAATAGTTCTCATCTCAATGCACAGAAAAACACACACTCTTAATGGTCTTCCTTTAAAAGACCCATCAATAAAAACACTGATAAGAATATAATGTGTCAATTAATCAATTAACCCCCTAAGCCACTTCATCAATTCCCTGTGTCACTTATTATTGTATAGACGGCATTCAGTTCTGCCTCAGCGCTCGGTGGAAATACTAACGGCAGGTTGTTGTTCTACAAAGCCGACATCCATTCCGGCGAGTGTTAAATGAATGCATTAGGAACCTGCTTTTGAACATGCAGTCTGAGTCGAGGAGACGCGTTCAGCATATAGGGGCTGCAAACTCAGCTAAATATATTCTCCGGCAGAGACACCCTGGCCTGACGCTGTGAAAGCAATAAAATGCTCTTCACAATCCGCAGTAAAATTCAAACAGCATGGCCCGGCACAAATATCATTCTCCTAGCTCATTTGTGAGTCAGCGGCAAGTTTGTTTACCACCAGACCTCTGCCAGGCTGCTTTCGCTTCACTCTGAGCAAAGAGTTATGGGATTTTTAGGTTCAAAGCAGTAGCTACATAAGTTTTAGCTCAAATTTAGCTTAGTAACCAAAACTGTGCTACAGTTAGCACATTTTACGTTTACAAAATCACTAAATGAATGAAACAGCTGAATTACATAATTGTAGTACAAAAAAAATCCATTATCATTAAAGCCTATCAAATTATGGGTACCAGAGAGATCCCATGCAGGCCTAATAGTGACAACAAAAAAATCATGAATATGGAACTTCCTCTTGTTCCCTTTCAAAGCACTTAATTGCCAAAAAAACGGAAACGAGCGGCGGAGGAGGAATGAATGGACCAGAACGCTGAAACATTGCTCATTTTCTCACAAGAGCTCGTTAAACAGCAATATATACTCATACTCAATTACGACATTTGCCTAACTATGCATCAGATTGCTGGTCTGGATGTGAGTTATAGTTGCTTCATGTCAGAATATCTCTCGCTCTAGAACTTGGGTGTAACACTTAGGGTTGAAATGAGTAGTCAACATTGAAACATTGCAAACGCAGCTCCAGACACACTCTTAAGAACATGTTAGAGCCAATAATGTTGCACTGTAAGTCTGGCTTAATGCAGCATAATGATATTGTACCCTGTTAATGTATTTGCTTACTTTCTTATGATACTTATTTTATTTTGGTTAAATGTATATTTGAATTTTTTTAGAAAAATTTGGTGAGGTCAAAAACTTTGCTACCATTACTGCCACTGAACACCTAGCAGTTAAAAAACACTTTTCTAACTCTAATGTTGAGCTGAATAATCAATCAAGAGCGACTGATTAATTTCTACATTTTCGGATGCATTTTGCCTTTACATTTTTAATAATCATCCAAATAATTGTTGATTTAGTCATAGTTTGCTGCAGCCCTACTAACACTGATCCAGAGTGATGTCTATCTTATCAATTACAATGAGACTGTAGCAACTGTTATCAGTTCAATGCTGCAATTTCAATTTCTCCCTTTAACCACTTCTATCCATTCCACTTGTCCATTTAAACAGTTTTGTTCAGTACTTTGCTTTAGGAATGCAGAGAAAATGACACAATATTCAGTTTTACTCCAGCACTGAACATTTGTATACGACTAAAGTTCAGCCTTGCAGGGAGATGGTACGTATTTCACTGACATTAAAAACAACCTTACTACCAGTAAAAGGACTTCATCTGTCAAAACACCTTTCACCATAATAAGACAGCCATCATTTCCTCTCGTAAGCACACAAGTGTGAAATCGCTTGTCAAAACCTCAGAGACGCCTCTGCTTCAACAGGTTGAAGCAAGTGTGCAGTTGTAAAAAGTCAGCTATTTTAATGTGTAAATGTACTCCACAGGCTTGAATAAAGTTGTTTATTCATTTTTATTATGCCTTCCATACAAACAACAATGTTTGGTAAATTCCACCTGCATAAACCAATGATTTGTTAACATTTTACATGCCCTGTGTGTGTTAGTTGTAGATCTTTATTGTATGTTTAAAACCCAAGCAGCTTGCGTTCTTACCGTGATTGTCGTTTTCAGTGCTGCCCATTCGGGCCATCTCGGCGGGGTGGGCGTGTTTGGCAGTGCGCCCCTTTGACAAGCCTGGGGAAGGCTTCACCACCCGGGCACCACTGGAGGTGTCCATGCCTGTTTAGGACACAAATAGATCAGGCCAAAGGAAATTGCATTATCTGCACACAAACAAAATAAACACAAAGATGCTTTCACTGTATCTGAAAGTCTTTGAATTGGGATTACAGACACCTGCTACAGACAGAATGGCAGAAATCATACATGCACACACATCTAATTATTGTCATCATTTTGTTGCCTGATTGCATAGGGCAAAATTATAATTACAGTCTTTCTACATGGTTGTCTTCCCATGCCAGAAAAATTTCACGAACAAAAGCTCACATCTATCTATCTATCTATCTATCTATCTATCTGTCTGTCTGTCTGTCTGTCTGTCTGTCTGTCTGTCTGTCTGTCTGTCTGTCTGTCTGTCTGTCTGTCTGTCTGTCTGTCTGTCTGTCTGTCTGTCTGTCTGTCTGTCTGTCTGTCTGTCTGTCTGTCTGTCTGTCTATCTATCTACAGTATCTATCTATCTATCTATCTAT